ATAAAATATGTTTAATGTTTACTAAACTGAAAGGGTTTTCATAATAACTTAAAACAAACGATGAAAGTAGAAATGCAAAGGCAGGACCTAATAGACGCAAACATGCGGACAGACCTGTCAAACAATTTATGTTTTTATTAAATGTAATATATATCATAGTAAAATAAAAACTTTTAAAATATTTAATTTTATAACATATATTTAAATTCAATACTTATATACATGGGTGAACTCTTTTTATCGACACTGTCATCGAGGAACGGTATCCCTATATAATAAACAGCTGCCGATCCTAAGCCATTGAGAAACATGGAAATGAATGGGAAGAGCACGGGTAGGAAACTATAGCCCGACTGCTCTATTCTGTCACAATCCTCATCAATAGTCCGATTACTTTCACAAAACTCAAGATTAGACTTATTGGCGTTGATGGAGGCGCCCAATAGGTGCACCGCCGGCCCATATATAAAATATGGTAAGGCAGCCAAATAGCATCCCATTCCCACTAACAGACACGAACAGGCTATAAGACGGGGCCGATGCACGTGGTTAGCGATGTAGCCGTATATGGGTTTGAATATAAGTCCTGACACGTCGTCTGCGATGAGTATAATACCCGACACAACACTATTAAAAGCATACCGTTTCTCAAGTGTCGTGACCGAGGCTACGGTGTAGGCAAAGGCTGAGCTCTGAAGTGTACCCACCACTGCCAACAGCAATATAAACATCTTAGCCGTTGCCCACCTCTGGAGCCATTTGGGACGCCACGAACCCAATCCACAGGCATACTGTCCCGACTGGTGGTCATCCGCGTCGTTATTTTCGCTATAATAAGCCATTTATGATGACATTTGGTTAAGGATTACTGCAGTTATGATGTGTTGTAAAAGATGTTCATATGCTTAGTAAACTATGTTTTAAAATCAAATAACGATTTTTGATTTAATTAATCAAAAGGATTTCATATCTTGTTTATATATTGTTAATCACAATTTGATTTTATGTTACAAATGTGGTAAATGTAACTTTCAATGTGCACCATAATATAGTGTCTGAATAAACAATATTGATGCTAGGAAAAATACAGTACTTTTAGTATTAATGATTATAGTCGATTATTAAATTCCAGTAATTTAAGTATAAAAGTGCTATTTAGTGCATTTGTTGAAGCATGTAACATAATAAATTGGCATTAACTATGCAACCGGCGGCATATACACTGAATATTAGTTATTGAAATTCATTGATTAAGTTGACAAAAACCACATGTCATACAGTTTTATATAAATTAGTTCACAGTAAGAAAATGTTTAATTTAATATTGCACTTGTTGTGATAAATATTTTCACAAATATCTTAAAATGTTCAAGAATTTTGAATGAAATTTTGAAATGATTTATAAACTTTAAGTTTAGGGTCTTAACTTTTAATTTTAGTTTTATACACATTTAATTATTTAAAATAGTTTTACAAAATAGTACTTTTTACAGTATTTTGTTAAAAAAATATTGTACATATAGTATGTTAGTTAATTGTTGTTGTATGTTAGTACATTAGTTAATTATATCTAATATATTTCATCAGACTCACATTTATTCCTAATTAAATAAATAATTGTAGGTATAGTTTTTTCTAAATGTTTTATTTATAAATTTATATTTATTGTTTCTATATAATTAGCAACAAGGTTTGTAGTCTGATAAATGTTAATCATGATAAAATTAATATACAAACAATTAATACCTTTATAATTTAGTACAAAGTGCAGCTTATTATATATTGTTCTGTTATGTAGTTATTTCATAAAATATTAATTTTATATTTATATAAATTTATAATCAGTTTATTTTTCTAAAAAATAAGTAAATAAATTCCTTTAAGGTAAATGTTACTCATAAATTTAAATGTACACATTAAATTGCAATCGATATTTATTGTATTATTTAGTACTTTTATGTTATAATGTCTATAATAAGAATTAAAATTTGGGAACAATTGTATTTTCAAGCTCAAAATTAAATTTAACCTTATATTATATAAAAATTATCATAAGGCTTTATAATATAAGTTATTTTAATTTCATTATTTTATTTAAAATAAATATAATATAAAAATAAAATATATATCCCAATTACCTAAAACTATTTTAATTTATAAACAAAAATTATTTCTTGTGATCATTTGATAGTTCGTTAATATGATGGTCTGTCTCATCCTCGTCATCGTTGTATAGGTTTTTGATTCTGTGCGATAGGAATACCACTATTATGTCGAATATTGAGGCCACGAAATACAAGCCCAGAGTTAACCCGATCAGTCTATAGCGAAACTTATCCACGTCATACACCAGACAATTACCCGTTTTGCCGCACTTGGTCTCCCATACCTCGCACGCCGTGTTAGTTACCCACCCATACACCAGCGGGTACGGTATGAATGCTATTTAAAGTGAAACATAGTATTATATATTTAATTCTATCTGATTTCAATCTAGATAATTTTATTTTCTAATTAATTATATACTTATTAGATAAAATTAAATTTACCAAATAATGAATAAAATGCCCCTGCTACACCCATGGCCAGACTTTTATCTTCCTCATCCACTATTCTAATAGACAATGCAATAAGTTTGAGATTTATGTATATTTATAGTAAGTTACAAAATATTAACATTTAATAAACTTATTCATTTATTACTAACAAGTAAGTTAATAAATGTTTAATACCTGAATGATATGATCACATTACCGGCCATAGCGGGACGACCCAATATACCAGCTATAGCCATCAGGATTATAAGTATCTCAAAATTGTTGCCACAATCAGAATTACAAAAGCCTTCGGTTGCCATTCCTGTTATCCCCGTGTGATTAACCATCCCAGACATCCCAGACATCCCAGACATCCCAATGCCATCAATACACTTACATCTCGAGAAATGCTTTAAGAAATTGTGTCCAGTTATAATCAACGGTTACTAAATGTTATACTAATAAATACGATATACTCTCAAATATCTCTTACATTTGTGCCATTAATGGATGCAAGAGATCGCGGATCACAACCGGCATAACAGGGAGAGAAGTATGTCGTATAGTTGTCGGGTCCGCAGATTGGTTGGAACTTATGTGAGCAGGAACAGTTTACATTGCACATCGATTGTGAGCCCAAATTACTACATGTTTGATAAAATAATTATTGCAATCATTTTAAGCTTTAATTTTATTAATTAACAATTATTGGTTACATATCATTGGCGTTATCCGTAATAAGTGGGGCGAATAGTGTGGGCGGACAGCCTAGAAAAAAGGCGGACACGTAGCCCATTGTGCCCAGGATTTCAACGATTGTAATAAACGATGTCAACTGTCGGGGACCCGGCTGTAGAAATGTTAGATATGCTCCCCCTAGTAATAACCCTATTGCGGCTGGTATAGTGCCCACAATACCTGCGCAATAATTAATAGGTTTACTTTTATTGCTTTTAATTATACAATAAATTTATAATAAAAATATACCGGACAATAGGTTAGCGGTTGAGGCAGACTTTTTATACATAGACTCAAGGTACTTGGGTTTGAATGTGTAATATCCCATAACTCCAAATACACGGAATAAAGTGCTCAATGTGTACGACACGTAAATGGGATTCTTAGCTAAACGTAACAGACGTTTATTTAAACCTAAAAATTAAATTAAAAATAATTAACATTTAATTTATTATAGACTTTTTATGTTTTTGTAATACATACTTAATTCTTGTTTGTTGTGTGTTTTAGTAGTAAATTGGGATTTCTTATTGGTTTCCGAATTAACCACAGATTTATTCTTAAACTCAGCAGGGAAAAGTAGCATTGGTAGAGAGCATATGCATATGAGAGTGCCCAATAGTACGAATCCTAGCCACCATGCTCCTACCCAACGTGGGTCTCTCTCATCAGTATTGCCAGTTTCCACTATATTAAGTAAAATTATATTAAGTTATTTTAAACAAAGGTGATATTAAATATCAAATAAGTTAATGTTTACTAAACTGAAAGGGTTTTCATAATAACTTAAAACAAACGATGAAAGTAGAAATGCAAAGGCAGGACCTAATAGACGCAAACTTGCGGACAGACCTGTCAAACAATTTATGTTTTAATAGTTTACTAAACTGAAAGGGTTTTCATAATAACTTAAAACAAACGATGAAAGTAGAAATGCAAAGGCAGGACCTAATAGACGCAAACATGCGGACAGACCTGTCAAACAATTCATGTTTTAATTAAATTTAATATACAATAATAAAATTAGAAAATTTTATTTACACATTACTAGTAAAATTCAATACTTATATACATGGGTGAACTCTTTTTATCGACACTGTCATCGAGGAACGGTATCCCTACATAATAAACAGATGACTCTCCGATGCCATTGAGAAACATGGAAATGAATGGGAAGAGCACGGGTAGGAAACTATAGCTCGACTGCTCTATTCTGTCACAATCCTCATCAATAGTCCGATTACTTTCACAAAACTCAAGATTAGACTTATTAGTGTTGATGGAGGCGCCCAATAGGTGCACCGCCGGCCCATATATAAAGTAGGGAAAGGCAGCCAAATAACATCCCATTCCCGTTAACAGACACGAATAGGCTATAAGACGGGGCCGATGCACGTGGTTAGCGATGTAGCCGTATATGGGTTTGAATATAAGTCCCGCCACGTCGTCGGCGATGAGTATAATACCCGACACAACACTATTAAAAGCATACCGTTTCTCAAGTGTCGTGACCGAGGCTAAGGTAATTATATGTTACAAACAGAACAAATAATTTATGTGAAAGAATTTTTCAAATATTCCAATTATTAAAGAAATGGCAGCATTTTGAATATTTTGATTTATGTGCACTACAATTAAACGCCTTGATGCAAGTCCTGACATGTCTTTTTGATGAAACCTTTTACTCAAACTGACGTCTAGTCCTTTTAAAGGTGTTACAACTCAAAGGACACTTCACTGAAATACTCAAACGGGAAGGACTATGGAATGTATGATTATAAGTTATATTTTATAACATAAAATTGTCTAAATATTTTTATCTTATATCACATTTAATTAAAACATGTTAACAAACTGTCCAGACAGGCGTACAAACGCAGATAATCCAGGACGGAAACGTAAAGATGAAAGTAGCAAACAAAATTCAATAATACTTTTGGGAAAGTCAAATCATTTGTAATTTGTATAAAATAATTTAATATCACCTTTGTTTAAAATAACTTAATTATAATTTTAATTAATATAGTGGAAACAGGTATTACTGATCAGAGAGACCCACGTTGGATAGGAGCATGGTGGCTTGGATTTGTACTATTGGGCACTCTCATATGCATATGTGCTCTACCAATGCTACTTTTCCCTGCTGAGTTTAAGAATAAATGACACCAATTAAGCCTTTGGTTATTCTTTAGTGTTAAATGATGATTTTGTGTGTTTTTTGTTCTCAATTCATACATAACTGTGTTGGTTATGTATTGTTTAATTTACAATTAATAAAATTAATTAAAAAAGGTCTGAGTAAACGTCTGTTACGTTTAGCCAAAAATCCCATTTATGTGTCGTACACCTTGGGCACTATATTCCGTGGTTTTGGAGTTTTTGGATATTACACATTCAAACCCAAGTACCTTGAGTCTATGTATAAAAAGTCTGCCTCAACCGCCAACCTATTGTCCGGTATGTATTTGTCTTAAATTAATAATTAAAGGCATTTATTTAACATGTATCATAATACATTATTGTACAGGTATTGTGGGCACTATACCTGCAGCAATAGGATTATTACTAGGGGGAGCTTATCTAACATTTCTACAGCCGGGTCCCCGACAGTTGACATCGTTTATTACCATCGTTGAAATTCTGGGCACATTGGGCTACGTGTCGGCCTTTTTTCTAGGCTGTCCGCCCACACCATTCGCCGCACTTCCTAAGGATAACGCCAATGATATGTAACAAACAATTTCTATAAAATGAAACACCAAATGATTTTAACAATAATTTCATAAAACCTAACTTATATAGTAATTTGGGCTCACAATTGATGTGTAATTTAAATTGTTCCTGCTCACATAAGTTCCAACCAATCTGCGGGCCCGACAACTACACCACATACTTCTCCCCCTGTTATGCCGGTTGTGATCCGCGATCTCTTGCATCCATTAATGGCACAAATGTAAGAGATGTTGATAGCAAATACAGTACAGCTTAACATTTAGTAACCTTTGATTATATTGGGACACAATTTCTTAAAGCATTTCTCGGGGTGTGATTGTATTGATGACATTGCGATGTCAGGGATGTCTGGGATGTCTGGGATGTCTGGGATGTCTGGGATGGTTAATCACACGGGGATAACAGGAATGGCAACCGAAGGCTTTTGCGACTCTCATTGTGGCAATAATTTTGAAATACTAATAATCCTGATGTCTATAGCGGGCATAATAGGTCGTCCCGCTATGGCCGGTAATGTGATCATATCATTCAGGTATTAAACATTTATTAACTTAATAGCTAATGTAAAAGTTTATTAATTTTTTATACTGGTATTTTTTAAAGTTTCTTATTTTGTATCTTGACTATAAAAATACATAAATCTTAAACCTATTGCATTGTATTATATATTAGAATAGTGGACGAGGAAGATAAAAGCCTGGCCATGGGTGTAGCAGGGGGATTGGGGTCATTAATTGGTAGATTAAATTATATTTAATAAGTTATTAGAAAATTATTTAATTATAAAATAAATTTATCTAAATTAATATTAGATTGAATTAAATATATCATTAAATGTATATTAAATATAAATTTTATATTTCACTATAAATAGCATACATACCCTACCCGCTGGTGTATGGATGGGTAACTAACACGGCGTGCGAGGTATGGGAATCCAAGTGCGGCAAAACGGGTAATTGTCTGGTTTATGACGTGGATAAGTTTCGCTATAGATTTATCGGGTTAACTCTGGGCCTGTATGCCGTGGGCTCAGTATTCGACATAATAGTGGTATTCCTATCGCACAGAATCAAAAACCTATACAACGATGACG